TAATGACAAACATGGTATGGGGCCGCAAGGGAACAAAAGCAAGCCAACATTTTGAACGTAAAAGCATTTAAAGTCATGTGGAACAAATAGGGTTGAGTCGTTTGACTCATCCGAGCCGGCCACAAAGTGTTGAGCATAGATCTGGTCCCACCTCAGCTAGGGCTATAATCTGGCCGCTTGGAGTGACAATGCCAGCTTTCTGAGCACCCCTGACCGAAAAACATAAAAAACTATGTTTTTGTGAACATTGTGTGGCAAACATTCTGGTACTGGATGCAAACAGCCTCAGCTCCATAACTGTGCTTGAACACACTACCTTCAGTCATCAAATACACAGTATAGCTGCTAGCATAGCACTACACAATGTTTTGAGGCGATAGCTTTGAAAAAATAAACTTGGTGGCATTCCATGCCGCGTGAAACCTCTTGCTAAGCATGTGCCACGGTGCCACTAAAGCAAAGGCTCTCAGTTGGTTGGTCTTTGTGGGCATCATTGTCCATCATTTTCAGTTCATCCAGCCTTCGTTCTCTAGATTAGTCTGCCGTGTTTACCCCACGTTGCACCCACATGCTTCTGCCATGCCTCGCGACATGCAACAACTGATTGGCATGTTTGTTGCTTCCTCCTTCTGACCACATGGGCAAGAATTACAGTACAGTATCAAATAAATATAAATAAACACTAGCGGCACTAGCGGCTTCAGTCAAAAGATGCGAGAAGGCTCCAAGACTCCAGGCTGTTCTCTTTGTTGTCTGGCTTGCTCTTCTGCTTGCTGCATCTGTCGCAAAGCATCCTGCAACGCTGTGACCCGTTGCGCCCGCGTGCTTCAGCGCTGAAATCGGGTCCCTCCCGGTGAAACACACCTGGAATCAGATCTCGCCACGACCGGTCCTGTTCAACACAGAAGCGCAATAAGGCGCACCAGGTACTAGGATGTACTAGGTACATTCCACAAAAAACTCCCACTTTGTTAATTAAACGTCTCGAAGTCTCGAGATGGAACTTGCGGAGGATCTGGTTCAAAGGCAGGTGGATCTGGTTCAAGTAGTCGGACGAATCTGGGGCCTGCTGGATTCCTTCTTGACTCTGGACCTATGTTGGCTGTTCGGGTTTGAGTTAGAGATTATCATTTACCATCCTGGACCTGCCCTCACTGTGAGCCGGCACTTGTGCTTGCGCTTCCACTCAGTCAAACACCGGCGCATCACGCACGGCATGAATGGTAAAGTTGGTGTGGTCCATGCATAGTTGGAACCCAAACAACAATGGCATGAAACACAAAGCCATGGTGCGTGAATCTTGCATGCTATATGCTATTTTCCAGTGATTTTTGGCCACGGCATAAAAATATCCGAAGCCTACCTCTGACACCTGCAGCAAAAATTCTTCAGGTTCCACGAACATCTTCCGGCACAAAGTGTTCGACATCCAGTCCATCATGTAAAAACGACATCGCTCGACCCGTCGACATCGCTCACTCAGCTCCTCATACTGTTGCCGCTGCATTCGAGCTGCTTCCTTTCCGCTCTTGGGGCCGGCGAAGCATACGCATCGTGGCCCAGGACAGCTTTCAACAGGATGTGGAGAAACAATCAATGACCAATGGCATTGCCCTGGCTTGCTGATGCAGAACCAGATCGTGCCAGAAAACCAGCAAACTGGAAGTGGACCCCACAAAGAGTTTTGTATTCGAGCACCTGTCCGCCTTCAGACTGGTCAAGTTCAGTGGGCTCAATGGCGATTGCATGCGATTACTGTACTGGGTCACAAAACAACCCCCCCAAGGAACCCACAACGTACAAGAATGCTCACACTTCCAAATACGTCTTCCGTCTTCATATATGTTCCCTGAATCTTGGGCCAAACCTGGTAACAAGAAGCTACTAGTAACAAAGGGCATCGCTACTAGTAGCAAGGACGCTACTAGATCTAGTAGTAGCTCCTGTCATGACTAGTAACAAGAAGATACTAGTAGCGATGCCCTTTGTTACTATGACGAACTCGATCTCCGGATCCATGGTTTCATGGACTGGGCCTCCGCCTGCGCGAAGGGGTTCAAAGGATTCTCTGCGCCCATCGCTGCTGGCTGAGCCTTGGTGCGAGCATTCAAACATCTGATCTTGGGGAAGGTGTCTTGGTGGTTTGAATGGCCACACCATTGGAAGCGCAAACATGTGCATAGGGTCTGAACAATCTTTCAACAAGTGTAACGTGGAACAGCGACACCTGGGACCTGACTGGACTGGGATGCTGAAAGACTGGGCAGTTCCACCAGCCGAGTGAGAAAAAAACAAGATCCCTGTGACGCCTTTGGACCTCGTGTAGCTGGCTCAAGGACTGCATCACACGTCGGTCCCGCCGGTGTAGTTCCACAAAAGAAGCTCTCGAAAACACTGGGGCTTCAGAACAAAGAAAGAGAATCCATGGCCTTTCTCGGAATCCTGTTTGGCACTTGATGGTGACTCCACAAAACATAATTGACATAATGATAATCATCATCATCAGAATCATAAGTATCTTAATCTCTCCACTGGTCTCCAAGGTGCTGCGTGCACGGACGGCAGCTCCCAAGACGTCTCGCCGGTCTGCTGATTGTAGTAATAGATGTGGCCTGGAAGATCGATCACAAGAACATGCCGATGCCGGATGCCCCCACATCGATCCCGCATTGGTTGCCATATGTTGCCATCATGCATTCCCAGTTGATAAGGGGCCAATGAGGGAGATCGTTTCAGCAACAGTGACGGCATTACTACGCAAATGTGGCGAAGATCCAAGAGGGCGAGGTCGTTACTTCAAACCTTTCACAGGAAAACAACAAGGAAAAGATTGGACAGCGGCACTTCCCCACCCCGCACATACAGCAAACATGGGCTTAGCACCAAAAAGCCAGTCTTGAGAAAACATTTGGTGTGTTCAACTAGTTGAACACCAATAAGTTGATTGAAACAAAACTGAATTTTGGGATATTTTGGGGCTCAATTCACCAAGGTTCAACCTTCATCATCGAACCACGCTTGAAATACAATTTTCGGCCGTTCATGGACCGCCGAAGCTCCTTCTGCGGTCTGACAGCTGACCCAGTCGCCAAAGACCTCGCCAGCCTGACGAGGACAATTGTGCAGCAAATCAGAAAATCAATTAAAATCGCACCAAGGGTAGGATCCTTAAGCCCAGGGCCCTAATTAGGGACGTTTCGATATCTGACCAACCAGAATGGACCAGAAAGGCCATCGTTCGGGCAGGTGTGAGGAAAGGGACAACTTGGACGATGTTGGAAAGCTTGAGCGTGCTGCCCGATATGATTTTGCAATTGCCTGCAAACACCTACTAACAGTAGCTATTGAAGGTTATGTGATGCGTTCAGGGATCCGGTGAAGCAGCTTACCCACTGGCCGCTGGCCTCTTCTTTGAGTATGATCATTCACGTGCTCCCACACATCGAGTCATATCGTCATATCGGTTTTAGCATGCCATTCCTCCGATAGACGGGACGAAGTTAGGCTCTCTCTCTCTCTCTCTCTTGAGGAAAGGTCGAACCTCACGCGTGCGGTCGATGAATCCGGAATCCAAGGTCGGTGACCGGTTCACATCCGTCGAAAGATTGGACACGTTCTGTGGGAGGTGGGGCATTGAGGTTCTTTGATGTTCTTTGTTTCGTTGGTGACACGGCGTGAGCATCCCAAGCATCTGTGACTGATTTATTGGGTGCTAGGGGGGCAGAACTTATCCAAACACAGCTCTCAGTAAGTCGGCAACGTGCCTGTGGCTGCCTCAGAGAAAGCGTGGCCAAAATCAACCAAAACTCTGACTCACTCAGATGGAAGTGGTAAATCCCCTGTTGGTAGAGGAAAGTGATCTTCCAAGGGGCCCTTTTGAACTTCCATGTTGGCATCGGAGGGAACAGTTCCTTGAGCATTTGCTCACCATGGTTTTCACTCTACAGCAAGCAAAGGCATAGCCCGTGACTGAAATGTCTGGTAAGAAGCAGGGCTCAAGCTTTGATCTTTCTCCAAAGGCTGTCATTTTTCCTTTTGGGACATGTGAGGCATGTTGTATCTTCAAAGGTCCTCTTCAAAAGTCTGTCGAATACAAGTGGGCACAGATTGTGCATACAACATGCACGCCCTCTCTCTCTCTATATATATGTAAATAAACACCAGGAGAATCAAGGAGACCACCTTCCCAAATATCCCTTGCAATCTTCTATGACCGCGCAATCTGGTTCAATAAGAAGGTGTAGCGGTGAGCTGACACTGGCTGACTACAAAATTTTGATCACTATGACCTATTGTTGAAGGAGTTTATCCTATCCTACTCCACCTGGAAAAGTACAACAAACACACCAATAATAGTGTGATAAGATCGATTCACAAGCTGGTTCGATCTTGATTCAGGGAGGCCTCGCCCTGAATCAGGACAGCTCCTGTCGCAGTCTCTCTGAAGGCTTCCTGTGGCGTCCTGGGCCTCTGACTGACCTTCAGTGTGGACCTGGCTGTGGGGGTCGTAACTAAAGGGAAAGAACATCGGGGGAACAAGCGCAAGGCAGGAGGCAAAAAACACAGGGTTTTTGCGAGCAGGATGCTCCACCAAAGGCAAATCCTCGTCCATATTCCTTGGGAAACGGTGTTCACCAAACCAAGCATTTGTAAACAGAATCCTAGTAGACATGCCCCGTTCTAGTTGCGTCCTAATGGTAAATGCACACATACTCTTTAATCAGAAGGGAACACAAATACCTCGGGCATCCTCAGGCCACGGCCTCCCATATGCGAAACAGTGGATGATGATGATGATGATGATGATGATGATGATGATGATGATGATGA